CTCTGCAAAAAAATTTTTTTGCTGTTTAAACCCTCAATTAAAAAAAAACTTTGTTTAAATGATGATAGTCGATAAATTTCGGCATACTCGTTAGAACATAAAATTATGCAACATAAAAACAATCAGGTGTAAGACGTGGCATTTTTTAATAATATTAAAATAAATCATGTCAACGAAAACATTGAGAGCTTAGCGCACCGAAGTATAGCCGTAGTTGTAAGTCATATCTTCGTTTTTTTCTGTTTGAATGCTTTTCTGTTTCGGGGGTTTTTGAAATTTTAATCATTGCGATTTCATTGCTTATTGAATTTTACAACTGGGAGCAAGTAATAATTTCTTCACTTCAAACAGCTCAGTTATTAATGAAAGCAAATGAGCCGAGGCCCTCAGATATCTGTGGAGATGTCAGACTTTAGGCGAATAATTTTCCGAATTTGAAGAGGATACCCAATGAAATGCACGCAGAAACTGCATCTGGTAGGAGAAGACGAGATTCCGGGTTCTGCTCCACAACTGGCATATTTTGAGATTGATAGCAACGGCCTAGAAGTGCATTACAGAACTCTGCACCATACTTCGCCATGCACAGAGCCAATGCATTTTCTGAAAATATTCGATATGGAAAAATGCTCGGAACGAGCTGTAAAGTTTCGCATGAAGTGTTTACGAATATGGATGTCAATGGTTGCAGATCAGCTAAAGGAAGTGGGAACTAAATAGGAAAAAAAGCAGATTTCTAACTGAATTGGATTAAGCAGTGACATTTTTTCAAGTGCCATTGGTTTTCCATGATTCATAAGCATTCAGTAGAATGAAGCTGTCGAGGTATAGCATCTGCAAAGATTACCTGTAGATATGCACTTCAGTACGTTGGATGGCAACTGACGGTTGTTACCACTGGGAATAGGTGTTCGGAGCATTGAAGAACATACTACTTGTAACTGATTGCAGAAATCCTTGCCATAGCGTGAAACACATGTGCTGACAGTTACTTCTGCGAAAGAAACAACTGGTTTACTAACCATAAGAAGTGAATGAAAAATTACTGAATGTTTATCTTGATTACACCTTGTTTCCTTTCATCTGTAGAAAGAAAGCGAAAAATACGTCTTTTTTAAAAGCCGTTTTCCGTGTTCCCTCTAAAACTAAGAGGTTATTTCACACTTCAACAGGTACCATAAGTAGCTTTGGAACCATCGTGCTCCCAATGTCTCTCCAAACCAACATGCTATCGTTTTGCGAGTTGTTACATCTTTTCCAAGTGTTTCTCTCTGTATGTCTCATTCATTGGCTCGATTTACGGATTACTTGAAATTTCTTAGATACCTTACCTGAAGATATGCACGATGCAATTATTTCCGGTAATTCGTACACCAGACCGGTTGTCGGTTCGGAAATAATTTTACTGTCTACACCGTAACAACGTTCTTTCACTCTGGTGCAGAAGTCGGTACCATATTTTGCCACACATGTTGCCACGGGATGTTCTGAAAATTCATCGAAATTTATTTCAGAAGGTTCATCAGGATTCACTGGAAATGAAAGTGGTGGCCGGAACTGCAAAATCTAATACTTTACCTGATGTCATACATTTGACAACTTTCGACGGCAAGTTACGAATAGAACCAGTGGGCAGCGCAATACCAAGCATTTTGAAGCAAGCTCCTTGCAATTTTTCGCAGTACTTGCGACTATTCTTCAACGTACAATCGTGCATTGCCATTTCTGAAAAGTAAACCACTTCTTGGGTGCTCAGACTTATGGAAAGAATAGCTGATTTATGGTGAACAAAATATGTATATGCAGCCTAATAACGACAATTTTCAAGATGTATCGTTACGACTATTTTATCAGAGTATATGTGGCTTTTCACGGGTCCAATAGCTAACATTTGCGCCCGGAGAGACTGCATGAATGGAGCCAAATAATGACTTCATCGACGCCTACTGCTTATAACAAGTAAGTTACAATGGCAAACAGGGATAATTTAATCAGGGTCCAGCCTTGGGACCTTGACCACATAGACTGTTCAACAGAACAATATGGAATGAAAACTGGAGTATGATCGGAAACCTGCAAACATGCAACCGGCAATCGCTTTGGGCAATTCGTAAAGAGCTCCAGGTGTCTCATCGAGGTCAAATACATTTTCCGCATCGGAACAACGTCGTTTGAGACCATCGCAGAAGTCCTTGCCATATTTTGCTATACACAAGACTATCGTGTGATCTAAATTTTTCATGAGGAATCAATCAATAGCAAAGACTCGGAATCGCTCAAATCTCGAATGAGACAATTTGTTGATCACTATTAAAAGAATGTAATCATGAGGAAAAAGTAGAAAACAATTCCTATGGGTGAAGTGATTCAGTGACTGAACAGACCTGAAGATATGCATGAAGCAACTTCCGACGAAATTGCTTGATTGGAGCCGCGATTAGTAGAGATGGATAGCATCGATGAGCAAATGAACTCCAACTTTTTGCAAAATTCGCGTCCATATTTTTTCAAACAGGTTTGCAGAACTGTTTCTGGAAACATTGTTTTCATGATTATATTATCCAGCAAACTTGCATAGATGAGTGGTTCTCATGAGATGGAACTTCTGTTCTGGGGGAATTTCAATCTGCTAGAGGGATTATTGAGGAGGTTGGAAAATTAATGCTGATTGATTTCTCCTACAGTTCTTCCATAACTGTTCATGATTGTTTTTTAAATGCTTGCTTGATCAAAAGGAAGTGATTTTCTTGTGCCAGCAAGAAATTTTTGATGGCATACTGCTCGAATAGCAAGTCAATTTCACAGTTTTCTTCTGATCTTTTGCTCGAATGTAATATGTTGGCAGAAAATGGAGAATTATAATCAGGTGGTTTGCTGGTGATGAGGAGAGTTTGTGGCTTAGAGGCAACACTTTCATTTTAAACACGCAAGTTCATAGTTCTCTGACGATGAGATAATTCGGTATTCTATTCTGAATACTGAGCATGTCATTACATCTTTTTGTTTTGCATAACAAGCTTGCGTTTCTTATTCGTCGAAAAGAAGGCGTAAAAACGCAGCACATTCGATGCGTGCTCACATTCAGTCAACCGCAGTAAAACACGGTACCTGACGATATGCAGTTAGCAATTTCTTGTGGCAGCTGGTAAAGTGCGTTGGGTAGATTTGAATTCTTGGTTTTCAAACAACGGTCCTTGACTTGGTTACAGAAATCAGCACCATATTTTGCCACACAAGTTGCTAACGGATGCTCTGAAATTGACCTGGTTAAAAATTAGACCACGTGAGAAACATAACCACAAGGGGCACTTCTCGCCATCGTGGTAATGAAAGAGATAAAAAAACGCGAATTTAATGAGTGCTCCGTATTGTTAATGTACCAGTGTTCAAAATAGGAGATGAAAGTTGTCATGTTATTTGCTTCGTTGCTGAATTCGGAATTAGCTTCCTTATGCATACGTTGAAGCATTTCGGCAATTCACTAATAGGAGTTACAAAGCGATTTGCACTGGCCTGATGATATGCATTCGACAACTTTCACTGAAAGTGCACTGCTCGAAGCTCTTCGTGCAGATACATGAAGGATTGTAGCACATGCTGTCTCCATGTTACGACAGAATTCAAGGCCATATTTGGACACACACGTGTGTTGCACCACTTCTGAAAAATTTCTTCTGGAACAACTGCATTCAACAAGTGAAAATAAAGATTCATGGGTATTAGACGGAACTGAGGACACTCGAGGGCCTCACGGTTGATTGTTGGAATCTAATTCAAAGACTTCTTTGTTCGTTGCAGGTAATTCATTAGATGAATATGGATGAGCATGAAATAGTGCTGTCGTTATTGAGCAGAATTCAGGCTTATTGGAGTTTATCGTTATTGAATTTATTGCTTCAATCGTATGCAACACTTTAAGTTTCTCTGTTCGGAAGAACAAGTCACCCATTCCTCGAAAAGTGTGTGCAAGCTAACATCCGTTCACCGTTCAACGTATGTTTTTCGTATATTTTCAGGTTGAATGCTACAACAGTGAATCAAGCGACTGTTCGATTATGAATAATCATGTTCATCGACAGGAGGCTTCACGACATTGTCGACCCGTTGAGTAAAAACATTTAGACGCAATTTGCAACATTCTTCTCTGCCTTAATGGGTTTGTCGCTTCTGTTAAGCACAACATAGATCATAGCACAGATTTCTTTCGTCCCAGTTTCATCACATACCTGACTTGATGCATGCAGCAACTGCTTCTGGTAACTGGTATGATTTACCAGGAACAGGATCAATGATAAAGACGTTCTCTGCATCGTAGCAGCGCTGTTTGAATTTCTGGCAGAACTCGTTGCCATATTTCGCGATGCACAACGCTATCGGATCCTCTGAAAAGAGAGTATGCTAAAAACCGTCACGTTCAAAATAAAATCGAATTATTTCAGCATGTAACTCGAACAAACCTGAAGCCATGCAGTTGACAACATTGGCTGGTAGGTTTGCAATCGGACCTGGTGAAACAAATGTACCAACCATTGAGGCGCAAACTGTTTTCAGTTTGCCACAGAACTGACGACCATACTTGGATATGCACGAATGCATCGTTACCTCTGAAGAAGAGTTTATTTTAAACGATTCTAATCAA